AAATAAAGCTAGATATGGACAAAGGAACAAGGGACGTACATATGCGACCCACCGAAAACTGGGGCCTGTATTATGTTATTTTCCGCATATTTATAGTTATACTTATACATATATATATATGTATTCATATTTATATTCATATATATATATATATAGTTATATCTATATTCATATTCATATCTATTTTATACTTACCTATTTACTTACTTATTTATATATGCATTATGTATGTGTATTTATGTATTTATATATATATATATTATAAGATATACATATATACACACAAAAAGAGGGGAGGGAGAGGGAGAGAGACAGAGAGAGTGTGTGTGAGAGAGTGAGAGAGTGAGAGAGAGACAGAGCATGCTTCGGGCTTCGCTCCCGCTCCGTTTGCCGCTCCTTGAACAAGCTGTCGGCTGTCGTTCAAAGGCTGGTAGGAGTCGCAGCAGCTCGTGAACATGTCCTATGTCCTCTACAGTGTGATATGGCGATCGAACCCTGTGGCTGCGGGCAAGGGAGCCAGAAGCTCGGCTCGTCGTGGTCACACTGCAACACAGGGCGCCGCAAGCCAAGCTACGCCTTTCATCGAGAGGAGCATTTCTCTAACTTCCAGCTCGAGCATGAAAAAACTACCATGCAAGCGAACCGACGAGCTCAAGTGGCATCACAACAAGTCCTGAATTACGAATTTCCGAATTGGTCCTGCAGTGGCAGTGTCACTGGAGTCGATATGCTGATCGTCGGAGTTCCTGTGTACATGCGGCCTCGACACCCAAGCAAGTCCACCGAAACCACACCAGGCTGCCGGTTTCTCACCTCACGCAGTAGCTCCACATCGTACACCTCGTAGACACGACGCCGCTGCTGCTCCCTCTCCTGAGCGCGACAGTGGCAGCTCTCCCTGCGCCCCTGCATGGTAGCGGAACGAGCACCGGGCGCTGCTGACACAGCGCTCGGCGAGGAGCAGCACCTCGAACGGTCGTCATGTCTCGTCTTGTCTTAATTCTACAACAGTATCAACAGTGTGAAACGCTTGCTAGGACTGGAACGGAAGAACATGCCGGCTGCAAAGGGAAGCGCTTCAGCCTGTTGCACAGCCGACCCGTGAGCGGTCTGGATCCGGCGAGCTTCCAAGCTGAGGCAGCAACCACGTTCCTCCGGCAGCGGCAACCAACATTGGTAGCTCACGCTTTTCCCCTACAGATGGGAAGCAGTAGACCTTCGAGCGTCAGGCCAGTGTGGGGGCTTCATCACAGCAACAGCGCGGACATCAAGCGAGGAAGTCTGTGTCTTGGCCGGCTGCCGACATCCCCTGCAGTAGCGGGCCATTCTGGCGCGCACGCTGAATAGCTGCCGCCAAGGAGTATCCTTTGGATCCATGGTTGCATGCACACCAATGCAGTGAACTCATCAACCAACAGACTTCAGGGAAGCAAAAACAGCCACAAAAACATGCAGATTTGTCTTTGCGGTACTCCGTGCAGTTCGTGCACATTGTCTCTGGGACAACATGTAAAGACCGAGCGCTTCCCAACTTGAACAGGAACCGGACTGCCCGCGGAATCCCGATAGAAATGTGGATCCGACACTGTGGCGTTGTCATGTCAAAATGGCGATCTATGGTCACAGCACTGTAGCCCACCCTTCCAAAACACGCAGATATGCAAGAAGGCGGGCAAGGCATAATCAGGTCAGCTGTGCTTGACTCGGCTTGATTTTGAGTTGGCAACCGAAACACAAAGTGAGCTCCCCCAAGAGTCGCGAGATCCAAGCACAGCAAGCCTCCAACACAAAAACTGCTTTTTCAATTGGATTCATGCACAGAGGGGCTGGGAAAACATACAATATGTGCGATCCTGCTTCAGTGCTTGGAAATAGGTCCTAATAACCCTGGTCACACCGACAAAACTATCAACTACATGCACCTCGCGCACAAAGCTTGTCTATGTGAGATCATCGCACAAGAAGCGATTCCAAGACAAAACAAGCTACGACGGGAGAGGCAACAAGAACATAGCAAGCATTCCAGCAAGCCCAAAACTGAGGAGAAGAGGCGGAGCTAAATTTTAAATCATCGGCAACGCTAGCAAACAAAAAAAATAACAGGCTAGTCATGTGCAGATCACGCAGACAGGCAGAAAGGCCCACAACATAGCGGCGAAGATGCGAAGATAGCACCCATTGAAATCCGCTTTCATCCCGCTCTTGGATTGCAGCAAATGACCGGGAGCCTTGTGAGACCCCCCTCTTCCGCGCGAAGGCGGCTTCGCACACCTCATCCTGCACGAGCTTTCAGAGAGCCAGCAAAGCCGGCCGAACTTGGTGTCCTTGAGAAGAAACGCAGCTTCGTCCACGAGCCGGCCAGCCTGCTAAGGCACATGGCATGCACGCCCGTGCATCAGACAACCATCATGTTTCCCGGGGCACTTTCGCCGAACTCATGCCGTTGCACCAAAGCCGTTTCCAATTTAACAGCTGCTTAGGAAGCTTGACTCGACAAGAGATCGGCACAAATTTGCTGCAAAATTTGACGGTGGCCACGTGCCAGCAAATCCTAAGCGAGACCAGTCTGCACTCGGCGATAGTAGAACAATCAAACCGGGGTTTTGCACAGCGCATCTTATCAGACCCTTGTAAATCCCTTGTACGACCATGATAATGGCCTCAGAACACCCCTGTCAAGACCTGACAAGAACACGATACGATTAGCATAAGCAGCATAAGCCTCTCTAAATTCTTATCGAATAAGACTCCCGACACAGTGACACAGGCCTCGCGGCAGGCCTTCACCTGCCATGAGCCCATGCAAGAACCACTTACCGCACGAAACGAGTCCTGTGCCTCTGGATCTTCGGTGCTGGGGACACCATGACTCTTTGTTTTGTTGAAGGCCTCTCTTGGGTTTGAGAGTGTAAAGTGAGTGACTCTACTACTTCCTGTTTTCCACGCTCGGTCGTGCTACATGTTACTCACGCTCGCGCGAGTATGATTACGAACATTATTGCCGTTACTACTTCGCAAAAATGACAAGCTCCTACTTGTAGTGCTTCTTCGATCGCATATGCCGTACAGAAACGAACGGCGAACCACTGTGTTTCGCAAATTGGGATCATTGGCGAAAACGGCTTGTGCTCGCCTTTCGCATCATTAGTGTCGTGTTCTGTTACTACACTATCGTCAAGTTTGCTTATTCCGACCACGAATGCTGAACAGGTTGACATGCCGGCGAGACATATTCTGTCGAGAGGATGTGGGCGCCAGTGCAGATGGCACACATCATCTGGCCAAGATTAAAACGAGATGGGCATCTGCATGATTTGAAAGATGGTTCCAAAAAGCTTTGCAAGAATCAATGGCCATACATTAGTTCATGAGTAGCAATCAAAAAATCCGGCAGCCACAGACTGGGCTCACGACAGTTCCAGAACAAAAAAACGCAGCCCACATGCCCACGGACAATTCGAAACGTGATACTCCTTGAAGACCGAACCGGCCAAGAATGATAAAAAAACAAACACAAAACCCAATCAGCAGGAAAAGACTGTGCAACCTGCACGTGTTGTCAGTCTCTGAGGCCAGAGTTCAGCAACAAGCTCTCTTCACAGGCTCGGGAGAAAAAGGGGAAGCGACATGAGTAAGATGGGCGTTGTTGAACGACGCGGAGACGAACGTCGTCATGACCATCAGTCCCGTCATCATCAGCAGTATACACAGCAGCATCTGGACTGTGTAGAATTATGGATTACAAGGCCTGACGCATTGTATTCAGGACAAAGGCCCCTCATGCATGAGAACAAAAGCGGAATTGAACAACAGTAGACAAGTGGAAGGTGCTGATCAAACAGACTAAATGGAATCATGACAATCCAACGACTAGTCAAGTATGACTGAGGGACCATTGAGATTTTGACGACGATACAGCAACGAAAACAGCAAAAACACGAACAAAGAGTCAAATCAAGATTACCAAAAGATGGCGCCCGCCGCAGCAGCAGCAACAACAGCAGCAATAGCGGTCAACAGAAACGACGGCAGCAACCTCACTTCTCCGACTTGAAGAAGAAATCCAATTTGTCATCAGCAAGCGGGAGCAGGATCAACAATCCGACAACACAAAGCCTTCGTGGTCCGTCGGAAGGTGTCCGCGATCAGGTGCCTAGACCGCTCTGAACTCCAGAGCTCCATAGCACAAGGCGGACTGAAGAATCGCCAGGCGGCGAGACATGTGGATTCCATTCTGCAACCTGGATTTCTATCACTTTTTGCGATGTACACACGACCAGCCTCAGAAGGCAAATTCTCAGCAGGTAAGCTTGTCGCCATCAGTCCCTGCAGATCGAGCAGAACCTTTTGCTGCCTCACCGGCGACAAGACATGCGATCAGGTCTGCTTCACACATTCTGAAACCGGAGGCACAAGAGACTCGCCACTTGCTAGATTGTGAATGTCTGAAGATCTGACGAGCCTGGTCGAGAGCTCAAGACCTGTGGTTGCCTCTGCAAGGAGGGCACGTTGCGAGCTACCGCCCCCTCAAAAACAAAAACACGAATGCTTCCAGCACCAAGTGGCAAAGACCGGCCGGCCGTTCGCAGCCGCCACTGCTGCTTCTGCTGGGTTCGCGAAGGCCGTGTCCTTCAGAGTCCTGGCTGAGTTGCTTAGGAGATGCACGCGGTGCATGCTGGGCCTGCGGATGCTCGTGGCCTCAAAGCCCTCGGTTTCGGGGTCTCCTGCACGACATCCCGACTTAATCAGAACCCTACCGACTGGACTCGGCACAACACCAGCCGACTCGTTCGGCAGATCCTTGGAGCCAGCAGCCTTTCGACATTTGTTGGAGGGCTCCTCTGCGCTTCTGAGAAAGAGATATCTAACAGGAATCTCGTTGCTCCTGTCTTGACGGCGCCGCCCGCTTCTTCGACCGCTCGGGAGCTTTGGACTGGGACGGAAAGCTCATGCGCTCATGCCCATGCGATTCCATGAGATTCCAAATCCCTCCAAAAATCATCGCCCGCCTCACTCTCCGGGTTGGCCTGTGAAGCAGGGGTCCTCGGCCTCGGGCAGCGCTGGCGCTCTGAAGAAACGTACGAAGCGGGCCTATAGGGGGCGCAGGGGCCCCTCTTCACCCGTGCCTGGCTGACGGCGCCGCTGCTCGGGCCTTGGCCTGGGCTGGGCTCTGCGTGCCCAGCGGCGCTTCAACAACTTCCACGCCTTCGGCGCCTTCAGCGCCTTCCCGGGGGTCAGCCTGCAGAAGTTCCGAGGCCCTCGCTTGCCAACTGTTGCAATGTCTGGCCTCCCTGGCGCCGTTGCACGGCGTCTCTTGATACGCGTCGCCAAAGGAGCATCCGAATCGTCGTCACTGATTCCCCTGAACATGAGCATGCAGCCCCGAGCACGCACACAGTCCTCTTGCTTTCATGTTGTCAGCATCCTGCCTTCGCACTTCCAGCATACTGGCCGCAACCTTGCATATGCACATTATTTTCCAGCCGGCTTGAACAACGAGTGCCAGTGCTAGGCTCATTGCTTCCGAGTCCGCCTGCAGACCCTGCTTGCCTGGCGCCATGCAAGGCAGCGCGCTGCGAATCGCATGCGCATGCGCTGGGACTCTCAGCGCATGCGGCACAGCGACAGGCGCACGCTGCGCCTTTCTTCTCCAAGGCTTCGGGCGACGGGGCGGTGGCTGGACCTCTTCGAAGCCCGGACCCGACAACCGCAGCTGCGATGCGCTCTCTGCCGCTCTCCTGGCGTCAGGGCCACGGGGCCTCCCAGCTCGGCGGGAAGCGGCCTCTCCGCTGCGCTCTGCGACGCGCTGACCGCTTTTCAGCACTGCGCTGCGCGGCAAGGCCCCCGGCAATTGTTTTCTCTGATGCCTGTTTTCCGCATGCCAAGGCGCTCGAAGGACGCTGGAAGCAAGGGGACGTCGTCAAGGAACCCCTGGAGCTCCGGCTCTCCCCGTTCCGAAGCAGGGCCGCACGGTGGAGGCCTGTGGACTCTGGTCCACCTCGCCTGACCACAGCCTCAAGAGCGCCACTGCTTCTTCCTCTGCCGTCGAAACCCGCCGTCGGAAGCCGCTCCTTCAGTAAGGTCCTCTATCGCTCTGTGCTGCTCCGCTTTCTCCACACGGGACGGTGGAAGGGCTGGGAGATGCCAGGATGGACCTGCATGCTTCGCCGCAATGGCTAAGTTGTCAGCCCGCCACTGAGCACTTCCGAGAAATATCTCCAGCCCACAGTGAAAAGCGAGCCCTGCACGCCTGGGTCGCAGTTCGCTGCTGGAAGCTTAAGTACGCATTGTTCGCTTCAACCTTCTTGCAGCCGTGTCTCCATTGGCGAAGATGCGAGTCTTAAGCCCACGGGACCAGAGTCCCATCAAACCCTCCTTTTGAATAATGCCATGGGCCTCACCAACACATGCACCAACAGAGAAGACTCTTTCAAGCAGTCTGACCTGCATCACGCGAACAACTGCAAGAAACGAAGTGAGCAAGTATAAACACAGGCGGGATGCTGCTTCGAGGTAACCTTGAGACTGGCTCTGTACTCTGGCATTCTGTGGCGCATTGGACCATGTCGTTTCTCAAGGATGCACGCTGCGGACATCTTGCAAGCCAAGGGGCTGATACGGCTCAGTGACGTTTGCCGATTCACTTTCAGGACTCGGATAGGGTTACAGATCGTGTCCGCCACCACCGATGAGGTGAAGCCAATGAAGGCATGCCGGACATGCTTCCCATACCTCACTGTGCCAACAAGTGACAGAGGCACGGACGGGAGTTGTAAGTCTGCGGGCTACTAGTTGCGGGGGCCAGCGACCCCAGAACTAAAGGTTAAAGCAGACCAGCCTCATCTCGAAGGGAGGAAGAATTTCGCGAAGCAGGTTATTCGTGTAGAACCACCTTGGTTCGGTTTGTCTTGCATTCAGCTCAAGCAGGACCACCTAGTAGCACCCCATCAGATGTAAGACTGTGCCACCATGTGCCGAGGGACGGGTAGTGTCCAAAGGCTCCTGTAACCAAGACACCCAGGCCACCATGCCAAAGTGACAAGGGGTTCACAGTCGCCTGACGCAGAAGACTTCAGAGAAGCCTCCCGAACAAGTCGAAAAGCAACCAGCAGCTTTGCCCAGGGCCTTGCGCACGAGAACCTGCAAGCCGGCCTTGAAATACTGACAGCGGGAAACAGGCTGTGCTGCTCTGGACAGACAAACATCAGTCGCCTTGCCGTGAACCTGCTTGTTCACCTGAACATCCAGCACTTCTCGGATGACGTGGAAAACAGGAGAAATTTCCGAGCCTTCCATGCATCCAAAGGCAGAATGGCCACACGAAAAGTGGCCGCAGTCACAGAGGCGCCTCACAGCAGGTCCAAAAACGAGCCTTGGGGGGGCCCTCCCATGCCAAGACGCAGAGCGTCTTCAGCGCCAAGGGCATCTCCACTTTCGCCAAGCCTCAGGCTGCGCGATATACTGCATCTGTGAGAGAAGAGACGTCTGATGATTCGCACACGCTTCTTCTGTCCAATTGCAAGGCGGAGGTGCTCGAGAGCGCTAGCTCGTTCGCCGCCTCTGCCAGCGCATGCTGGCAGGGAATCTCTCCGCACTCAGTGCAAACCGAAATGCGGTATCTCCAAATCTTGCTGTGGGAGCCAGAATCAGCGCGGGCCTAAGCTCTGAACCCATCCCAACACGAAGGAGATGATGACCCTGCCACACTGGTGCCACCCAGCAGCATCAAGCCTCGGTAGAACCGAGCAACTCCACCTTCACGATAAAGAGTTCGTGCGACCTTGACGGTGCCTTCACCATTCTTGTATTGGTACTCCATGATGGTCCGCAGCCACATCAAAGGAAAGACGTACATTACCTGGGCACACCCTCCTGCCACACCACTGATAACGGCGGCATTGAAGGTGCGCAACACGCGGGCATCTGCTACTTCTGCCATCACCAAAGTCGGAGATCCACACACTCCCACATTTGTGCATCAGTACAGGGACGTGAACTTGTGAGCCAAAGTGGCAAACTGCGGTGGCATCTGTCTCTCGTCCGACAACGGGAGCGTCCTGTGCCTATTGAAGGCCACCTAAAACCCCATGCCGCGCAGGGTGGCAAGGCACAACCCTCCCTGCCCTTCCGACCCCTCAGCGTCCATCCCTTCAAACCTAGCGCATGCGTCCTGTGAATCCGAGGCTCGGCCGAGCTGTAGCTTGCTAGCTCTTGCTTTAGCACTTTAGCAAAAAGCCCGACCGCCGGTGCTCCGTTTTCGAGCTTTTTTGCGTACTTTTGGGGTAGCCATGCCACCAAAGGGCTCGCATCATGAGCATCAGCGGCCCTAGTCCGGGACATCCGGGACATCCGGGGCGCGCATCATCAGCATCAGTGGGGCCCTTGGGACAGGGCAGGCGGGAGAAGGCCGCCTCCGTCCTTGCTAAATTTCTTGTTCTACATGGTTTGTGGTTTGAGCTAGCTGCGCCCATCCCGAGGCTTGGCCCAGCCGTTGCAAGCTTTGCGCCAGCAAAAGGCGCGACCGGCAGTGCCGCCCTGCAGGCCCGCGCGGGACCAGCCATTCCCAGCTGGGGAGCATCATGAGCACTCGGGGCGCCCGCAACCGGCCCTGCAGTGCGAGGCAATATTTTGCTCAAGTTTTGAGTGGGTTTCGGAAGACCGCGCAGGGCACACAATCAGCGGGGTTCGGCGGAGGGGTGCATGGCCGTGCTCCGGGCTTCTAGCTGCGCTGCCCACCGGTGGGCGCAGCCCCGAGTAACCCGATAACTTCGACCCCATAACCCGATCTTCATATTTACATGTTCATTAAATTCGCTTAAACAAAGTGATTTCCATGCACTGTCGGTTTGAACAGACGTGGAGCAGCCAAGCGGTCTGAACCTGCCTCTGCCAATGCGGGGGAACGCTGGTCTTCGTCCTGTGCAGCTTCTTTCGAGCAGCCTTCGAGACGGAAGCCGAAGCCCACGGAGTATCTGGCCTTGGCCTTGGCTTCGCCCGGCTCTTGGCTGCCGTTCGCCTCACCTGCAAGTCTCCAAGTCTCTCCCAAGCGTCTCTCCCAAGCCTTCCACAGCCGCCCCCGTGGCGCCGCCCCCGCCTCTTTCGGAAGCTCTTGGCTCAAGCTCCCGGGGATCCTCTCGAGGCGTGCACCGAACACGAGACTCTTTGCCGTGGTGGCACAAGGCCTCCGAGCTCCCGGCACGCTGGGGCCGCTGAACCCGCTGGGGCTGGAGCCGCTGAGCGTGGCCTCGGCCCTGGCTCCCGTTTCCACGAAGGCGAAGTGGCTCAGATCCGCGGGAGCACTGGGAGCACTGGCACTGGCCCCTTTTGCGGAGAACCTTGGACTCCCTGTCCTACTAACTTCACGAGCTCTGTCCTCCTCCTGAGTGGTCTTTGCAAAGCAGAATTGGCTGAGGCCAGTGCCATCCTCCTTCACGTCGGCTTCAGCTCTGCACTCCGTGTCGGAGAGTCGATCGGAGGATTCCTCGACCCTCGCTGTGTGCTCTTGGGGCGTCTCACCCGGCGAAGGTGCGGAAACTTCCATGGTCTCGACCGGTGCAGCCAAGGGCTCGAGGGCTTCCGAGCACTGCGAAGCCTGTAATTCTGTCTGCTCGGGCACCGGTGCTCTTGGGGAAGGCGACGCACTGGGTGTGGCAGGCGCCGTCGATGCCGCCGAAGCCGCCGAAGCCGAAGGGGAGCCTTCCTTGGCCGTGGAAACCGAGGCCGGTGCAGGCGCGCCGAGGCCCAGGCAGGTTGCCAGGGCTGTCGGCGCTTCCTGGGCAGGCGAAGCCGGCATCGTTGATTGCGACTCCGTGTCGGACTCGGCCGACATCAGCTGACATCTCACGTTGGTGTTTAGCCCTGCACTGCCTGCCCTCCGGCAAGGAGTCGGGATTTCATCTGCCTGCAAGCCTGTCTTACACTTACTCTCGGCCTCTGTGGCAAGGTTCTGCGGCCCTCGCTTGACAGCATGTATTTGCTGCAGCCATGCAGGCACACCGTCTCCATCGTGTTTCGGCGGAGAAAGGGTACCGAAATCCAGGGTTCGCCGTGTACTTTGTCTCTTTGCAAGCGAAATCTCAGAAGCCTGGCAGCCCAGGCTCTGCACGCTCTCTTGCTTCGGGTCGAGTGCCTGACTCCACAGCAAATCCACCGAAGCAAGAGAGCGGTCTGGGCTTCCAGGCGGTGAGGCGTTCGGCGCGCCTCTCGGCTTCGCCGGCTTCGTGGAGACTGCCTCCGTTTTCACCAAGTCAGTCTGGCTTCCCTGCACGAAGGGCGAGAGCTCAAGCTCGGATTGCGGTGACAGGCCCACAAGCGCCAGAGTACCCGGGGAAGGTTCGCAATTTTCATCAACCTCCTCCTGCTTTGCAGCCAGGAAATCTCGCAGCGAAGGTGCTGCAACCTTCTGCGGGGTGCGCCCACCCCACAAGGCATAACAGGCTGCAGAGTAGGCATCCACATCCACCGCTTCAACACTTTCGTCACGAGGCCGCTTCGGGATTAGTAGGCTCAACCGTGGAGGTTGTGGCTTATTGGCGGCTAGTCTTGCATTAGGAGTCTCCTCTTTCGAGCCGACATGCGCTCGAGTGTCATCCTCGCATGTCTGCACCATCACAGAAACCATGCGGGGTCGGCACCTGCGGGCATTGTCCGGTGCACGAAGCTGTGGTTCGCCAAGACAGTCACTTGCGACGACCTTCCTTTCGCGTCGAACCCCCTTGCATCCTCCATCTAGGGGCTGAGCACGCGCAACACCATGAGGATGCTGCTGACCTGAACAAACATCAAAAACAGCCTCGTGAGCCTCGCACTGCAAAGTACATGCCATATCATCAGAAATTGCAGATGGGGCTGCTGCAGAAACGTCTGCCCTGCACGCAGCAAAACCCTCACTGTCTCCGTTGCCTTCGTTCATCGTACGTTGCTGGGCGGACCCGCCGCTTGGGAGGTTGGGCATTGGCGTTGCCTCGCACAACTCCGTTTGCTGTTCCTGCTTGCCACATTGCAAGAGCTCGGCAGTTATGTCCTCATCGTCACTTGCGCCATTGTATTCTTGGGTACAAGCCAGGTCGTTGCAAAGCCGAGGAGGCCGCATCCCTGCGCAGCTTGTCGTGACAGGGTTTGCTGCAGGCGCTTCTGCATTGCTTGTCGGGCCAACTTCTTCGATGCCCTCGTGGGGCTCGCACTGCAAAGTACATGCCATATCATCAGAAATTGCAGATGGGGCTGTTGCAGAAACGTCTGCCCTACACGCAGCAAAACCCTCACTGTCTCCGTTGCCTTCGTTCATCGCACATTGCTGGGCAAACGCGCCGCTTGGGAGGTTGGGCATTGGCATTGCCTCGCACAACTCCGTCTGCTGTTCCTGCTTGCTACATTGCAAGAGCTCGGCAGTTATGTCCTCATCGTCACTTGCGCCATTGTATTCTTGGGTACAAGCCAGGTCGTTGCAAAGCCGAGGAGGCAGCATCTCTGTGCAGCTTGTCGTGACAGGGTTTGCTGCAGGTGCTTCTGCATTGCTTGTCGGGCCAACTTCTTCGATGCCCTCGTGGGGCTCGTACTGCAAAGTACATGCCATATCATCAGAAATTGCA